AATAAACAAAAAAAGCCTAATAAACATAGGTCCGAAAATGGACCATTTTCGAGATATTCAAAGATTTAGTTTCATAAGTTGATATTGTTAACATCATGAATTTAAATTTGTTTTTATAATAATTAAGTCGTTACTATGGTTACGATAAGTTGTCTAATCAAAAAAAAATAATAATACTTCACGAAATTATTATTTTACTATTTAATTTAATAAAACTATTAAGTATGGCTCCTATTAATTACTTCAAGGAAGAGATGGCGGATATGGTGTATTGTTACGGACTAGCTGATGGAAATGCGTCGTTAGCAGCTCGTCATTACGCGCAAAGGTTTCCGAACAGACGATTGCCTAATAGTCACACCTTTAGCAGACTATTTCTCAGATGAAAAGAAACGGGAAGCGTAACCCACAGCCATTCCACGGAGAGACATTACACAAGGCCGGTGGAATTAGAAGAAGCAGTTTTGAGAAGAGTCGATGAAAATGCCTCAACCAGCATTAGAAGAATTTCTGCACAAGAAAACATTAACAAAACAACCGTTCACCGCATTTTAAGGGAGCAGTTGCTTTATCCTTATCATTACAACACCGTTCAAGCTCTAACAGAAAATGATGGCGAAAAAAGAGAGATTTTTTGTAGGTGGGCCATACAGGAAGAGGTAGTAAACGTCGACTTTCCCATAAACATTGTATTTACGGATGAAGCAACATTTACTCAAAGCGGAATTTTTAATATTCATAATGCGCACGTTTGGAGCGATGAAAATCCCCATGCAATACTAGAAACTCATCATCAGTGGCGATTCAGTGTTAATGTATGGGCTGGAGTTATAGGTGATCAGTTATTAGGTCCATTTTTTCTTCCAAAGAGATTGACAGCCGATGCCTACATACATTTTTTACAAAATGACCTTACAGAGGCATTTGATGAATTACCTCAACAAATTCTAGAAGATTGCTACTTTATGCACGATTATGCACGCGCTACTCGAGCATACTTAAATAACAGATTTGGCAATAAGTGGATTGGCCGAGGAGGGCCACCTCGTTCACCAGATTTAAATCCGTTAGATTTTTGGTTTTGGGGACATTTAAAACAAATTGTTTATTCTGAAGACGTTCAAAATGTGCAGGATTTGAAGAATAAAATTAGTAACGCATTTGACACAGTAAAACAAATTCCTGGTATCTTTGAACGCATTAGAAGTTCATTTAGAAAACGTATCCGTTTGTGTTTAGAAGTAAATGGTGCGCATATTGAACATTTATTATGACATGAATCTTTTCCAATTTGTTAAATATTCGTTGTTTTTATGCTGGTTGAACGATTTTCTTCGACAATCTTTGTTACTTGTTTTGTTAAATTATTAATGAACTGTATTAATTAACTTAATATTATCTTATTATTTATTAAACTTTATCTTAACCATCGTAACCATGGTAATCATATAATTACTGCATCTAAATCGTTAGAATTAATGATGTTTACAATAGGTCAGCTTATGAAACTAAAACTTTGAATATCTCGAAATTGGTCCATTTTCGGACCTATGTTTATTAGACTTTTCTTGTCTGTTTTCGATCAGAGAATACGCTGATGCAGTATTGTACAATCGTTGCGGGACACCTGTATATTTGCTTCCATTGGTTTTTTAGTGTATACCCATTTTGCTTTCAAAATTTCCACATTTTTAGGTTTTTCTATTTCTTTCCATGTACCTTTCTTTTCTATTGAATCAATTTTTCTTTCCATTGCTTTTAACCAATAATACTTGTCATCACATTTTTCTGTCTTCATACTCCTTTGGAACTTCCTCTATATAATTCATTACATCATATGCCATATATATCTCATAATCTTTTTGCCATGCTGGTAATCTTTTTTCTCTTTTACTCCTTTTTGTATTACTTTCTTCTCCACTATCATTTCTTATTTCCTCTTCCACTGACACATTTTCTTTTTTCACTTCAGTACTTTCATTTAACTCGTCTGCTAACGTCTCCTCGTTCCCTCTGTTTATATTATTATGTTCATTTATGTTTATTCTTACAATATCTTTATTGCAAGGAAAACAATTTTCATCAACTTTAATATCTCTTGCTATTTCTAATTTATTTTCTTTTATGTTCCATAATCTATATCCATTTTGTGCAAATCCTACAATTATACATTTTTCTACCTTAGAATCAAACTTATCTCTCTTTCTTAGCGCTAGAGTCCCGAATACTCTAATATTGCTTACGTCTGGTTTGTTACCATACCATATTTCTGCAGGTGTAACTTTATCTTTTAATGATTCTGTTGGACATCTGTTTAGAATGTAAGTTACATATAACAATGCTTCATTCCATAATTGTTTAGGTACTTTAGATTCATACATTATTGTTCTAGCTCTTTCAGCCAATGTTCTGTTCATTCTTTTTGCACCTCCATTATGTTCTCTGGTGTATATGGTATTGTATATTCGGTTATCACTCCGAAGTTTAAATATTCTCAATCCAAACATTGACCTAGTCATTTGAAAATATTCTTTAAATTTATCAAACATCTCTCCTTTATGTTTTATCATATAAATTGTTGTAAAATGTGAATAGTCGTCAATAAAAGTTACAAAATATCTGTGTCCATCAGTCGATTCTGGTGTTATAGGACCACAAACATCCATATGTATGATCCCTAACAATCGTTTACTTTTAGCTCGTGTTCTAAATGGTAGTCTAGACATTTTGCCCGCAATACAAGGTTCACAAAAATTTATTTCTTCTATTGGTATTAGTGGATTTATCCCATTCAGATAATTTCCTTTTATTAATTTACTTAAACCTGAAAAGTTTAAGTGCGCAAATCTACGATGCCATTTTATAAACTCATTATTATCATTTTGAGTATTATAACATTCACCCTTTATTATTTCAAAATTTATTTTATATAATTTTTTCGTTCACCTGCTTCAGCATTTTCAAAAATTATTTTCATACCACCAGATTCTAATTTTTTAACGGATAATAAATTTTGTCTTAAATTAGGAATATATAAAACGTTCTTAATGTTACACAAAATTTTTTCGTTATTTATCCTATCCCTACCGCATCCAAACTACTATTATTTTCCGCCACTGCTATTCTAATTGGATTTTTTAACATTAATAGATTTTTAAATACCTGCCTATCATTGACTAAATGATCAGTGCAACCTGAATATACAGGGTGCCCATTATGTATGGAATATAGTATATATCTCGGTAAATGTTGACTTTATAAGAATACATTTTATACAAAAGTTGCTTAATATTTTATTTGCCATAATAAGACTGCATTCAATTGTTTTTAAGTCAGAAAATAAATGAGTAACGACTAACACTTGAATTTTTTTAAATGGCAATATACCCTTTCGTCAGGTTCATTTGATAGAGATTACTTTTCTCTTTACGATGACGTAAAATTTTTGTACCCTTACATCAGAAAATTTTTGAAAAAGATGTAAAAATTGTTTATTAATAAAAATTAATCAATAACATTAATCTAGATATCCGAGATCGCCAAATACCTCGAATTATTACAGTAAATTAAATTTACATACAAAATAAAACAAATAAACGACAAATTAGTGTAGATCTCTAATAATTCGAGTTACTTCGAGGTATTTGACGATCTTGGATATCTGGATTAATGTTATTAGTTAAATTTTCTTAATAAACAATTTTTACATTTTTTCAAAAATTTTCTGATATAAGGCTACTAAAATTTTACGTCATCGTAAAGAGAAAAAAGATCTCTATCAAATGAGGCTAACGAAAAGGTACATTGCCATTTAAAAAAAATCAAATGTTATTCGTTACTCATTTGTTTTCTGAAATAAAAACAATTGAATGGTGGCAATTATGGCAAATCAAATATTAAACAACTTTTGTATAAAATGTTTTTTTATAAAGTTGATACCTACCAAGATATATACTATATTCCATACATAATGGGCACCCCCTGTATAACGAATTTTAGATCCGACTTACTTGCTTGCTTATTTGTATCCAATTCTCCCATAAAGCATACACTTTTGTCAGGAACACTATAATCAGCCTCCCTTTTGTTGTTATTCCTTTCTTCATTATTGACATAATTACTTCTCGGTGGATTACCTTGAGTACCTTCCAGGTGTTTACCCACGAAAATATCTGCCTCGTTGATTCCTGAAGTATCCTGTGTTTGAACCTCTTGCCTCGGAACTGCCCCTTCCTTTATTATACCAACAATCCTTTTTAAAATGTCCCCGTTTACCACATTTGTAACATGATTTATCAGTCATAAATGCCAGCTGGTTAGTGCCTGTACTGTTCTCAAAATTATTTGTTTTCCACATTCCAATAACAGTTTTGATTTCACAAAATCATATTTTAATTGCTCAGATGATAAATTTTCAATAACCGTAGCAACTGTTGCAAACGATTTAGTTAATGCCATTAATAAATTACAAATTATATCTTCATCTTTCAATTCCGCTCCACTTGATTTTAATTGTCTTAAAACTTTTTCAAATTCATTTATAAATTTATTCAGGCACTCGCCTTCTTTCAATTTCATTGCCAACATTTTCTTTTTGAGAAACATTTGCCCTGGCAGACCTCTCTTCTGAAAACATTCCTCCAAAGCATTGGAGGAATGTTTTCAGATCTCATATGCTTAGCTTTGCTGTCGTTTTTCTTGATAGATAACTTTTCTGTTTCATTCATTTTAGACTGATCAATCATAGGTTTTACCATTTGTAGAACCCCTTGTTCATCTAATATCATTTCCATCCGGAACTTCCAATTATAATAGTTTTCTCCATTTAATTGTTCTATTTGGGACGACTTATTAGTCGATAGCATTATGTTTTATTATTTTTTAATAGGGTTAATTATCAGGTTAATTATGCCACTCGCTACGCTCGTGACATAAACTTAACCTTCGTGAATAATAGCCCTCATTATATGCCCATATAATAATATACTATTTTGTTGTAGATTTGAAGATAGAAAAGCGGAAAGCGTTACATTAGACACACAACGTCGTACTCAGCAAGAAGAAAAATATAAAGGCTCCTCAGACTCCTTAAGCTCTCAACGTTCGTTTGATTCATCCGATTTAATTTCGATTTTGGGAAATTATTCAGTTCCGCACCCCTTAGAAGATAATAAATATTCGAAATTTGAAAACACGGACGTTTGGAAACCAAGGATTCAAAAGCAGCCAGCTTTAACGCAAGTCGCCGCGACTTATAACGTAACTTCCGGGAGATGGGACCGAAATACGGGGGGGTTAGTTAGTTTGCCCCCTGTGAGAAGACCCAGTAGAGATGCAGCAACCATCGATTTTTCCGCTGAAAGAACCCCAACGAAAGCAGAGGAGATCTTGGGGAAACCAAAAGTACCATTAAGAAGTCAACGAAAACAACCAAAAAGAAGTCACGTTAGGAGTTTAGGGGAAGAAGTTACCGATGGAAGTTTATTAGACAAAAATGTTGCTTTAAAAACGATCGAAGAAACTACTCCACCTCAAAGCCAAAAAGAACAAGTTAACAAATTCATTCAACACGAGGAAGAATGGGGAAAACAATACGTAACTCACACTCCAAAACGTCAAAAATCGGCGTTAAACTCCTTCGATTTGCGCCGAAGAAACAGTGATCCAGCAACAAAATCAAATTTAGTTACAGAGCATCATCCGGAAGGTGGGGGTTCTTCCCCAAAATGCCAAGACGAACCCGAATGGCAAAATCAAACCACTTTTACAATGGGGGGACACACATTTCGAAAAACTAAAACGTTTTCAAAAGATGATGCGTGTTCATTTTGTAACAATTTAATAGATGCTTTTGCAATGCAAGGGTATAAATGCGCGAATTGCAAAAAAATTTTCCACACAAAATGCATACAAAACAAAAGCGTCCTAAAAATACCTTGCGAAAACAAATTAGTCTCCGAAAACAATAAATCCGGGCGAAGAAAATACCGCAAACACTCAAAAGCTCCGTATGACTTATCAAAACCCGGTTACACAAACAAATTTAGCGTAACAAATACGTCAGAATTCACCGATCGAGCCGATCAAATAATAAGCGACACAAAAGAATTACAAAGAATGCAAGATTTTATCACAAGCAAAATTTGTAAAATTGAAACCGACGCCGCGGGGAAACCCAGCGAAGTCGATCGAGTTTTTAAATTAGCTTTACGCGAATTTAAAGACAATTTAGTTCAAGTTTATAGCGCCGCAAATCGCAACTCCGAAGCTTACAGCATAAAATACAAAGATTTAATAATGAATTTCATCCAAGCGATGGAAACTGTTTGTCAAAGGGAAAAAACCGAAAACGATTTCCCCGTAACGATGGGAGTAAACGCTTTCCGCGGATTTATGAACGAATTTATGCAAAGTCGACCAGAAGCTGAAAAACCGGGTAAAGTAAAACGAAAAAAAGAGAAAAAACGTAAAGTCGACGATTTAATTAAATATTACGGGCACACATTTTTATTAACAATAATAAATATCCCAACAGCTTGCGAAATTTGTAATTCATTTTTTATGTGGCCATTAGAAAGAGGATTAGTTTGCCAATCGTGCAAATTAACGTGTCACAAAAAATGTTACACAAGAACGACGAATTGCGCTAAAGACGATAGCGTTAATTCCCAAGACGATGGGTGGAAATTATTTGGGGTTCCATTAACAACGTTATTAAACGACGAATCGACAATTCCCGTTGTAATTGAAAGATTATTAGCAGCAATCGAAATGAGGGGGTTATACATAGAAGGGATTTATAGAAAAAGCGGTGTTAGTTCGAAAGTAAAAGAGCTTAAAAATAAAATGGAAGAAAACCCCGAAATCGTCGATTTTGATAGTTATCAAATTCACGTTTTAGCGTCAGTTTTAAAATCATTTTTTCGTGAAATGCCCGAACCTTTACTCACATTCGAATGTTACGAGAATTTTATAACAGCCGCGCATATGGCGGATCCTCAAGATCGCGTTTCAACCCTTTACGATATCTTAAAAAAATTACCGAAACCTAATTTTGATTTAATGGAACGTTTAGTTTTTCATTTAGCAAGAGTTGCGATACACGAGGATAGTAATCGAATGTCAACGGCTTCTTTAGCGATCGTTTTCGCACCTTGTATCTTAAGAACGAACAAAATTGTTCCCGCCCAAGATAGTTTACACGACATCAGCAGTCAAACGCAATGTATTGAAACGATTATTTCGGAACAATTAAGAAAGGTAAAAAATACCCTTGATGATATTGATACTTTAGATACGGCGATGCAAGCTGTAACGAAACGACTGACATCATTAAGACGTTCGAAAGTGTATTCACCCGAAGAGTTATTACCATCTGATGATCAAACGTCGCCGGGAAATGTTGAAGAGGAAGAAAATTTATTAGATCATATACAAGAGATACAAAAAGAACAAGAACATTTAACATCAACTTTACCGACGTTATCACATACATCTGACGATGATATGTTATCAACCGATGGTGATGGTAGTTTGGATGATGTTTCTAGTGTAAGTGAAAAGAAAAGTGGTCAAAGAAGCGGAGGAGGCCCCCCACCGGTTGTAAGATCAATTTCAAGTGGCGATGCCGCAAGACAATCATTAAATCAGAAATTAAAAAGGCAGTCATCGTCGGATGTGAGCGTTAAAATAGTCGATGAGGGTGAGGATGCTCCTATTATGGTGTGAATGAATGAGACGTTTGTGTTTTAGGGTAAAATGTTTTGACCAATTTTTTTTTCTTTTTCTTTTTAAGATTCGAGAGGGTTGTTTAAACACGTGTAATAAATGTAAATTTTGTTTTGTTAATTGTTGTTCTCTCTCTGGGATCGAATGAAGCGAAACGAAAAGATTTTATTTAACAAACTCTATATTCACGTTGAAAATGAAAATGTTTTGGATTGAAATTATTGGGTAAGCAATTTTAAAATAGTTTAGTAAACATTGAATTGGATTTGATTCGAATTGATTAAGATTTTGATTAAGATTTAATCGAATTTGATTGGGAGTTTTTACTATTAGTAATGACAAGAATGATAAAGCAGGGTAAAAATCTTTTTTTATTTGTTTTTAAGATTTCGTTGGATAAAAAATTTTATTAAAAATATAATTTGAATTGATTTATATGAATTGAACTTTTTTATTCAAATATAAATAATATTTACTATCCGTGTAAAAAGTCAAGGCCAAAGTGGTAAAGTTTATTGTAATCAGTAGGGCACGGAACTTTTGTAACAAAACGATACGATTTTCCCCCTCCACTCGTTCTCAGCAGAAAATTTCATACAAAAGTTGTTCTAAATTAAATTCTAAAACGATTTTCTCATTAAAAAAAAATATATAAAAATTTTTTTGAGATTATATTCTTAATTATTGATCAAATCAAAAATTTTTATTAACAATATTTGTTTAGAATTACTTCAGGAACAGTGTTTGTTAATACAATTTTTTGCTAACTTGAAATTTTAATTTCCCTCTGAATAGCATTCTATCAAAATTAATTATCTCGATAATTATTGTTTTTATCAAAAAATGTTTTAAATAAAATTTGTTTCAATTTCGATTTTGAATCAATTATCTTAATAAAAATTTTTTACATCTCTATTAATTAAGCATCTAAGTATAATTATGTATAAAAACGGAAAAATTATTATTGTGAGGTTATCTCCTTAATTATTGATTAAATCAAAAAAAAATGTTGACAAAGTTTGTTTAGAATTGTTTCAGGAACAATTTTTGTTACCACAATTTTTTTCTAACTTGAAATTTTAATTTCCCACTGAACAGTATGCTGTTCTTTTAATCAACATTTTCTGAGAACGAGTGGAGGGGGGTGAAATCGTATCGTTTTGTTACAAAAGTTCCAAGCCCTGGTAATCAGTGAACATTTCTGCGTATCAGATGTTAATTTGGAAATTTTTGGGTCCGCGGATTTTCTTTTATCGTGAGTTAATTGAAAAAAGTAAAAGTACAGTAGTAAAATCGAAAAAAGTTTCGCGGAAAATCGCGGTTTAGTAGGATGCAGTTATTTCGAAAACAACCTGGCGGATTTCAACGCAGTTTTTACCAAAATATGTTAAATTATGTCGGTTGTCGGATTCCGTTATCAGTTTTTTAAAATTAGGGCTCCTTAATTTTTTAAGAGCGATTTAATGGATTACAAATTAAACAGAAACATAAATAAGCTATGCGGGGAGAGGAGTACGAGAGTACGTCGCGCCTTTATCTTACCTACATAAAGATATAAGGCGCGACGTCCTGTCTAGGACGTACCATCTGTTCCGATTGGACGGAACCCCCGTCACCCCGCAGAGCGTATCTCTGTTTCTCTTTAATTTGTAATTCCATTAAAACGGACTTAAAAAATTAGGGAGCCCTAATTTTGAAAAACGGAGTCCGACACTCGACATTATTTGACATATTTTGATCAAATCCGCGAGGAAATCCACCCAGCCATTTTCGACATAACGGCGTCTTACGGAATATCGAAAAAATAAAATATGCTACTCATTAAGAACACATCAGGCTACCACCTGTTCAAAACTAAAATTGTTTCGTATGATACTTTTTGAGAAAAAAAATCGCAAAATTGACAAAGTTGTCGGTACCGTAAAAAATCGGGTACTCTTTTCATTTAACTCGCGATAAAAAGAAAACCGTGGATCCGAAAATTTTCAAATTGACGTACAGTGGTACAATAAAGTTTACATATACCCCAGAAAATCATAATATCTCAGCTCCTGGAATGTAATTCAATGAAATTTGTAAAAGAAGTGTATATTATTATAATATTTTACTATAAAAATGTATAACTTATTATTTATAACGATAAACACAAAACATAATCATATTTATAACTCTACTCTATTTATAAAAAGTCTACATACAGTAGTTTACTCTTACATTCACAATCAAAACCACTCAAAATTTACATAGTAATTAATATTTGGTAGGTCCTCCCTTGGACCTACCAAATAGAAGAAGAGGTGAAGGAGAACAAGAACTGCTGCTAATTGTCGAGGCATACAATCAACTAAATTTACTGCAAATTCTGGTGAAATACTCTGCCATTCCTGTAACAGTGCAGCTTTTAAGTCGTTTTTATTTTTAATATCTACTTTCCAAATTTTGCGATCAAGAAGCTCCCATACATGCTCTATGGGGTTGAGGTCGGGTGACTGCGGTGGTGAGTGTAGTTGTTTAGGGACGTTATATAATACCCATCCCTCCACAATGTGTGCTGTGTGCTTGGGATCATGATCATGTTGGAATATCCAATCTGTTTCCAAGCCTAATTTATTGACCGATTCCTTTAAATTAGTTCGCAATATGTTCAGATATACATAGCGGTCTATAATTGTTTCAACAAATACTAAACTTCCTACACCAGCCCCCGACATACAACCCCATACCATTACATTTCCTCCGCCATGCTTTACTGTGGCTTTCAAGTTTTTCTTTTTCATTTCTTCGTTTTTCTTTCTGCATACCTTTGCTTTGCCATCACAGCCGAAAATACAACGGTACGCTAGAAAGTAGTATTCTTTTGCTCATGTAATTTAGCAAAATGTACATTTCTTTCCCATTTATTTCGGATATAAACGGCTTTTTTCTTGGAACTCTACTGTTATAGACTTCACTTCGTGACACCAGTCTAACTGTTTCAGGATTTATGGTTATAGACCTTGATGCCGCCAGTGATTTGGATATTTCAACCGCAGTTGTTGTCGGCTGATCGTTGATCGTTTTTAAAATTGACCGCTTATCTCTAGGTGTCAGTTTACTGACTCTTTCTTGGTTTATTTTCGATTGACTGACGTTCCTTATAATTTCGAATTACTGTCTGGACCGAAGAGCGACTTTTACTAACTATTTTTGCGATTTCACTTAATGAACGACCATTATTATGATTGTGAATTATGATATTTCGCACTGCATAAGGTGCTTTTCGTTTAGCTTCCATTGTTAGGAGGATTACTAATTACAATAATTTATATTAGTATACTGCTATGGCAACAACGTTGGTATGAAATAAAACGCAAACTACAGCAACTATGATGTCTACAAATAAAAAATAGTGCAATAAATAATTAGTAGCTGTATGTAGACTTTTTTGAATTACAAATATGATTATGTTTTGTGTTTTTCATTATAAATAATAAGTTATACATTTTTATGTAAAATATTATAATAATATACACTTCTATTATCCTTCGTTTAAAAATTTTATTGAATTACATTTCAGGAGTTGAGTTATTATGATTTTCTGGGATGTATGTAGACTTTATTGTACCACTGTATGTTACGTAGAAATGTTCTGTGTTTACAACAAACTTTGTCGCAATTTTTGTTATGGAACGGTTACGAAGATATCGATCTCTAAAGTGAGGGGTCTTGACTTTTTGCATCGATAGTAGTTGTGTATTATACAAAAACCTTTATTAACCATGAATTTTTAGTACAAGTCTTGTTTTTAATTTGATGAAAGAAATGTCAATAATATACATCTACGCGAACGCACATTATCTTGCATCAATATAATATTTGGGGTTCAAAAGGAAGAAATAGCGTTATTCGTTTAAATACGACGTTTTCTAGGTAATAATCCGCATAAACAGACTTAGGGACCAAGTAAACTTTTCTTAACCCTCATTTCGTCAAAGATTAAAACCAAAACTTTACTTTTTTGGCAAAACTTTACGCTCTTTGGTCAATAATAGCTTTTTTATAGGGTTTCTCTTTAATTCGGCTTCATTAAAACTTAAGTCTTTTTAAATAAATATGATATATTCTGGAAATTTAAATTTTCCGCATACCCTAACTTGGAGGGTATTTTAATGTGACAGATAATGTTTTATTATCGTGGTTTTTTTAGAAAGTACACAAAAAATATCATTATAACCTTGTTCTTATTATCATTCAATATTTAAATTACATAATAAAACACCATTTATCAATAGATATTGAAACTACATTAAAATTTAAATCTGAGCTGCAAAACAAAAAACCGGATTTTGTGGTTGACACAACTTAAGTTTAAAACAACAACCTCAATTACAATTAAATAAAAACATAAAAACGTTTTAATCATTATAATTCCTTCTTCGAAGAAATCTTGTCGAGTCGCCAGTTTTTCTTTTCTGGTAATCCTGGCTTTCTTAATATCATTTTGTGTTGGTCAGGTCGATTGATGCGTTTCTCATCTCGACCAGAACCGTAAGATGCGGTTCGACTCTCGATTGTAAGGCCCATAATATCCATGATGCATAAAATTGGTGAGAAACCTTCGTTAAAAAATGGAAGTTTCAATCTCTACAGTTTTGCACACAGAATTAACTTGTTGATGTCAAATCATTATAACGTTTTATGTTGCTCAGATCGATTGATGTGTTTTTCATATTAACCAGAATCGTAAAATTGATATTGCCAAAAAAGTGCAAAAAATGTGTTTTTAAGCAAAAGTCAAAATGAACGTTTTTTTAATTAACTTGTTGATGCCAAACCATTACAGATTGGCTTTATAACTTCAATGTATCCTCTAACGGCGGCCTTTCATGATTAAAAGTACTAAGATTATTCAAATGTGAAATTTCTGTTTATAACAAATTTTAAACTCAATTAATTTTTAGATCGCAACCATGAATTTTTCGTGCACATGTGGCAGAAAATCTTGTTATCAATTTGATGAACGAAATATCAATAATATGCATTAATCAATAACCATGCGAACACACATTATCTTGTATCAATATAAAATTTGGGGTTCAAAAGGAAAAAATAGCGTTACTCGTTTAAATACGATATTTTCTAGGTAATAATCCGCATAAACACGTTTAGGGACCAATATTGTGCAAGCGCCCAAGTAATCTTTTTCATAACCCTCATTTCGTCAAAGATTAAAACCTTTTTCTAAT